CGGCAACCAGGCCGCCACACGACAGGCCGCGCGGCGATCGGTCGCGCAAACGCACTACCAGCCCACGGTGGTTACGCGTGACTCGCCGTTCGACTCGCGAGCGTCGCGGCGCTTTTCAAGGAGCGAACTGACTGTGAGCAGCGGCTAAGGCGGACGTCTGGTGGGGTGCAACAGAGAGAAAGTCGCGCACGTAAAGCGCAGACACACGTATGCACGCGCGCACGTAACAAGATCGCGTAACGTGAGCGTGTCAACGTGAGCGTGTCAGCGTGAGCGCGCGGGAATCCAACTTGCGGCACAAGTTATGACCTCAAAGGGATCGTTAACGAGCACCCGCCAAATTAGTATAACGGCCACTCGTCTCACTCTACGCTTTTCAAAAACATCACCGGTCTCTTTTGACTTCTTCTTGTGTTTCTTGGAATCGGGATATCGTCGGTGGCAATATCGTTCGGTTATTTTCTCGCAGATTTTTAAAAATGATTCTGTTCTTAAAAAAATGGTTCTGAAGGGTTGTTAAAAATAAAAGAAATTTGGTTTCGTTAACACTAAAGATACTAAAGTTTTAAATATATATTTTTGTTTTCTCTTAGATTATGGAGAATCGTCTGATATTAATTCAATATCTATTCAATCAATATCGATAATTTTAATACCAATAATCAATTTAATTAATTTAATTAATTTAAGTAGATTAAGTAGATTATGGTAATTCGGTATTCACGAAAATTTTATTTCTTTATCGCTGGAAATATCAGAGTTTTAAGTATATGTTTTTATGATTTTGATTAAAAACAACTGTTGAAATGAGTGAGAACTTTCATCTGTGCATTCGACATTAATATTAACGGTAAGATTGATATGCGATACTTGTGGCGCGATACGAAGCACAAAGAGACTCTGCAAACTGAAATCTGCATGAAAATTTGCACAGTGTTCCCTTGACGCACTCGTACGCTTTCGATTTATGCATCATTCGTAGATGAAATTAAAACCATGTTACATCGAATACTAAAAAGGAATTCCAAGAGCAATATAAACCTACAATTTCTAGTGTACTAAAAAGTTTTTCCTCGTAATAACTTTAGGATTTCATCTTTAGAATGTCATAATTCTACTATTGGTTGGTCACAATAATACAAGAGACAATACAACACACTCGAACATCATTAACATCGTATCCCGTTGATTTTCGATACGTTATATCGAACACGAGAATACTCGACACCTCGGGAAGTTTTTACGAGAAAATTCCACTGGCATCGATACTCATCGGCGATCGTTAATTAATCTCTATAACACGATCGGGTATATCGGAAGTAATGCAAGCTACCGGTGCACTAACGAGCTACGCGTCATACACGATCGATGTAATTATTAATTAGTTTCTCCGTATCAAAGCAGTGCCGTGAACTCTGCTGTCTCTACAGAGACGTAAATAATTATCCAATAGCGGTGACAGTGTAATCTGTAATAAACAACGCGTTGATCTATAGCTCGTTTAACACAGGACAACTTTAAATATCGATCGATGCATCCGTATCGAAGGCAAGCAGACTATCATTTCGTATTCAGTTCTGACTCTTTTATACGTACAGATCTTCGAATTATAAACATCTGTCTCAAGAGAAATTTTGTAAGCATCGTTTATTGTTTCAGCAGGATCTTTAAAAATTAATATTGTTCGAGGAGAATGTTTAAAAATTAAGAGCATTAAAATATCTCTTCTTTTTTATGAAATGACTCACATTGAAAGATTACAGAACCCTTTATACGCTAGATAAATAACAACTTAAATCGCGATACTTTACACCTGGAGACTTCGATTAGTTCAGCTTGTTCGCGGTCAATCGAGGAAAAAGGACTCGTTCAGGAGAATCGAAAAAACGTTCGTGGAATAGGCTAACGCGGTGAATTCTTAGTCGATCCTTTCAAGAGATAGGCAGATTTTCGCTCGGCGATTTAGCAAATTTCAATAATAACCGAGCAGAAACAGGCGGAAATGAATTCGTCGAGTGATAAAAAAGAAGTTTTTGGCTGTCAGGTCGTGCTTTGATCGGCGGTTCTTCAAAGGACCATCAAGCCCCCTTTCTCATTTCGATTCTGTTTTACTTTACCCGCATATCGATATTCTCACCGTCGCCTTTTTTTTTTGTCCACCCGTCTTTCGCTTTATTCGCGTCTTTTGTCGACCAATTTTCGGCTTCGCGTAGAACGGCTTTCGTGAAGGTAGAAAGGAGAAAAAAAGAGAATAGCTGTCCCTCATTAACCGCTGCTGGTACCTCTATGGGGAGGAGTTTAATGCCTAAAAGAGAATAAAATTTCCCTGTCCAAGCTGAAACGGATTTCACTGCGCACAATAAATCTATTCCGTGGACGATCCGATTGAAAATTTTACCTTTTAAATGTTATTACCGTTAAATCTCCTATCATTGGTACATTTTTTCCTCTTTCTTTCATTTAGGAGATGATAACGATCCTTTGTTTCGTTTGCTGATTATATGAAAAGGACATCGTAAAAGATTCGTACGATTTTAAGATGAGAAAATGGCAAATGAATGGAATTATCCGACTACGCACAAACTAATACAATTTTGTTACTATTATAATACATGTGCAAGTTATTGGTGTACTCTTCCTTCTTTCCTCTTCAAAATCTCGTCGTGATAACGATCTTTAAAACTTTGCTTTACTTATAAAAAAAATTGTAGAATTTTATAGAAAAGCACTGATGAAGACTACTTCGCTTCTATTATGATCTGGGCATATTATTGGCTTATTATTTTCCACTTTTTATTTTGAACAATTCAAGGCGACAATCCTTTGTTGTAGTTTGTTGATTATATTAAAAATGCGCCGTAAAAGATTCGTAGAATTCTGTGGAGAAATACCGAATGATCGCACGGCTGGCCATGTGCCAGATAATACTACTTGATTCCTATTGCAACACACATCTTATTGGAATATGTTATTTTTATTCTGAGTTATATTAGAAAGTTTCGATACATGATTTATATCATTTTACGATTAAGCAGTGACGAATGAATTGATTGGCCACCCGTCTGACCATATAACACAAAATACTACTTCGTTCGTATTTTACTCTCCACTTCTTCGTTTAAAATACATCGCGAGTCTAGATTAGATACTTCTCCGAATAATATACAGTGAAATGGATTCGTCGCCCCATAAGAAATATTTAAAATCGAATAAAATATGTATCGTGTCAGTATTGGCTGATATTTGTAAAACCTGGACGGGAAACGTATTTTCACATCCATAAAGTGCACGTATTTATCGCGTGACGTTCATTTGCATGCATATTGACGGAATAAATTACAAAATTACAGTACAAAACCGATCCCCCGTCCGTCACAAATGATATTCCCTCAACCAAAATAAAATCCACTAAAAACCCGTCTGCGAAACGGAATCATCTATTAAAATCTACCGATGAAAGTACTTAATTTTAACTCATCGTGATTTTATTCGGCCGATGCATCTTTAATCGCACGAATTTTATTTAAACGATCGCATGATTGACGAATAAAACTAACATTCGTGACAACACGTATGATGTAATAACTTGCCGAATAAACCAAGAACCGTCCGTTTAATGGTTGTAATAAAGAAGAAAACGCGGCCGTGAATTATTGAATCCCGCGTGGAATTCGCCCCGGGGGGTGAAAGAGGTTGTTCGAAAGCGCGGCCGTTAATAATGAACGCGGCGCGTTGCCGGTGTTTCGAGTCTCGCGGACGAAATTAATGTTTTAACGGGGCCGAACGTCGCCGTTGTCCACGACTTTCGTGCCAACGAGCGCGTTTTTCGACGGAGACCACCGACATAATTAAAAAATATACACGTACGTGTCGGATAACCGAACCGACCGATAAATATGCAAATGGACGACGTGAAACCGAAATTCCATCGATATGGAGATTCGAACGAAGCTGAGGATAAAACAAAAATTGCGAGATAAAGAAAGTTCAGAAGAAAATACATTGAAAAGTAGAAATAAAAAGTATTGTATACAAGAAGAAAATGAATGAAACGTGAGAGAGTTTGTGAGGAACCACGAGGAAATTTTAAAACTCCGAGAAACGTCGAGTACTTGGGAGACACGTGAAACGCGATTGTTAAAAGTTACAAAGGGACACGGTTTTTCCTGTGGAAGAACCGAAGTCAAATTTTTAAATTAAGCTTAATGATTAATTAACGTGTTCCAAATGAATATCATGCTGTTGGAATAATTTCCACGCAACGTGAATTCGTT